ACGGAAGAACACGCAGTCATGAAAAGGACAGAAGGTCAAGAATAGGACGAAAGCGTACGAGCCACGGATGGGAACTAAATATATAAACACCCCAGCATGCTGAAAAGCACGGCTACGGAAGAGCACGCAGCGGTAAGAGTGCACTAACAGCAATTCTCCCATAGCATCACGGTAGAGCACGGAGCACGGTCGACGGACCAGACATATAGACGCGGGAGACCATAAACGTGAAAACACCGAGCATTTGAGCACAATACCAGGGTAGAACCGGATCTTACCGAGCCAGGGAGCACGATACTACGGTAGCTCATAATAGAGCGGACGGCAGACCAGCGCCGACACCACAAAATAAAACGATGACTTGGACGGTGGCCAAGACACTAAGCCATGATAGAAATGCGGCCACTGGAGCTGTAGACGCGAAATCACCGAGCCACGGAGCACTATATCAGTGTAGAACCTGAGCTTACCATGCCACGGAGAACAATAGCGCATTAGAATTCGATTGCACGGACGGCAGACCAGCCACGAAATGGAAGGGGGCTCGGGGTGACCACGATTGTGGAGGACGATGCCGCTGAAGAGCACGATAACATGGGCAATGCAGATGCAATCTGCGAGCACAATACCATAGACAGCAAAACCATATCGCAATTACACGATGGCGTTATAACGCGGTCGATGAAGCCTCACCAGACGAGTCCGATACACGGGTGCTGGAACAACACGACTGCGTGGAGGCACCAAACCACGGAAAAGCACCCTTCGGCTAGAGAACCAGCAATGGGAGGCGAACGGTCACGAAATACTGTGTATCAGGAAGCCGGTGCAGCCACGAAATGTTTGAGAGCAGGAAATAGTTAGCAGCCACGAAAGACGCAGTACTAAAAAAACATGAACCCAAAAGAGAGAGCTCTTAACCACTAAGCAGCGTGTGCCACGGGTGAGCAGGGAACCACGAAGCCAGGAATATCACGGAAGAGCGCCGGCCACTGTAGAACATGAGATCTAACCTGTAGTACGGGGTAACGGAAGCGTTCCAAACCACGATATTATACGGGGCCGAATGAGACTACGGAAAGGCAAGTGGTTAAATACACGATGCCAAGATCTACGGGGTGAACCACGCTCTCAAAACACGCGACACCAAGAAGCACTTAAATTTGCGGCCACCCTCATCTCCAACAAACCATGCCACTGCGCCGCGTAGCGGCCGGCGAACGGCTAGTCTTACTCTCTCTAGTGGAGTGTGTTGTCTGTCCGTCTGTCTGTCACGGGGCTAGGGTTCATTAATGTAACGCAAATGCGGGCATTCTACTGGCTGCCGAGCGCAGCGAAGGCGGCCTCGATTCGCTAAAATTGCAATATGTGGTGGACACATTTTATGTGGTCTACACATCGTACTTAAATGCACCGTTCAAATTTCATTTTGCCCCATTTTCAGCTGCGGTTCGCCACCTCACGCGAAGGGCGCTGCCTGTGTGCGCGTTAGTTAGCATTAGTATAAGGCGCCGATAAGCACACACGTACTATATCGTCGTAGGAGCTGTTGAAAAACATTGTAGGATTTGGTGACTCATATTTCGGCCTCAATCGAAACTTTAGTACATATAGGACATATAATGATATTTTAGGCTTCGTAGTACTTTTAAATAATAAAACTTACAAAACTTTTGAGTAATACTATGTTTAGAGAATTTCATATTTTTCTTGCAGACGTTTATAGCAGTACTACAAAAAATTAATTAGTTGCGCAAGAAAAAAAGCGCATGTTATTACTAATACTAATCAATTTAAATCAAAGTACCGGTATTATATTTGCGTTAGATAAAGATGCACAATTTATTACTAATATTAAATATTCGAACACTTTAAAAATGTGAATATAGTGGCTTCCCACCATCCCACCCCACATAACCATGTACACCACTCCGCCGCCGATAAAAAAGGATCGTATTCCTTTGTATTCGCGCGCGTAGTGTACGACCTTAAGAGATTGTGCGCACTTTTCACCACGATATGTAGCATACATCAAACAAAATAAAAACAGCGTTTGCGATTGAATTAGCGCGGAGGCAAGTGGATAAACAAGAACACGAAACACAGAGGAACACCGGCGCACACTATGTACACGATGGGGTAGAGGGAAGAACACGAAGCACAGAAGGCCACGGACGTTGAAAAAGGACTAAATTAATGAAGGCAGCTAGTCATTCTGAAAAGCACGAACCACGGACGAGCACGCTACCATGAAAACTTGGAATGGCAAGAATATGATGGGAGCGTATGGATCACGGAAAGTAACTGAAGTAATGACACCCCAACATGCTGAAAAACACGGGCCACGGAAACGGTAAGGTGCACGGAAAGCAATTCTTCCATAACACCACGGTAGAACATGAAGCACAGACGATGAACCTAACACAAAGCCACAGGAGAGCATAAGCGGGAAATCACCGAGCATTGGAGCACGATACCAGGGTAGAGCCAAGCCACGGAGCACAGTGTTACGGTAGCTCACAATAGCTCGGACGACAGACCAACCACGATACCGCGAGATAATACGATTGCACGGACGGTGGTCCAGCCACTAAACCGTGAGATAACACGCAGCAACGGGAGTTATAGACGGCAAATCGCGGAGCCACAAAAGGCGATTCCACGATTGCACGGGCGGCAGATCATCCACGGAAGCACCGGGGAGCGCTTTTGGATATCACGATTGCACAACGTGGATCAGTATGCCATTGTTGAATATAATAACACGGGAAACACAGATGCACTACGCGAGCACGAAAGCATAGGATAGCAGAATTATACTGCGCTCGCATGATAGCGCGATAACGCGGTCGATGAAGTCACACCAGGAGAGCACGTTACACGGGGGACGGATCCATATAACTACGGAATAGCACCCGTCGGCGAGGGTACCGTCGATGAGACGCCATGGACCATGAATGAATATGGACCACTAAACCTGTAAACCCACTCAAGACCTTGGGAACACGGAATAACTAGCAGCCACGAAAGGGTGTCGTACTACTGAAAAGCATGAGGCCAAAAGAGAGAGCGCATTAACGGAAAAGGGCAATATCCACGGAGGAACATAGACGCCAACCAGTAGTACGGAGCAACGGACGCGTACGAATTAACGATACCGTACACTGCCACATGAGACTACGAAATGACAGGTGTTTTAAGTACACGACACAACATCGCACGGAGATGACCGAAGCCTCGGGGTACAAGATCAGACTGAAAGCACACAACACACGAAGTACTTAAAATTGCGGCCACCTTATCTCCAACAAACCATGCCACTCCGCCGCGTAGCGGCGGCGAACGGCTAGTCTTAAACATCTACTGCAGCAACCTGTCTGTCCGTCACACTAAATTGTCGTGCCTGTCACGCTTTTCCGGACAAATCATTGGATAAAATAATTTAAATATTCCTACTGGCTGCCGAGCGCAGCGAAGGTGGCCGCGATTGGCCTAAAAGCTGCCAAGCGCAGCGAGGCGGCCCAAATCGGCACCTTCTGCAACCCTGCGGGCCTATGGGCCCGCCTGAGCCACAATCTGCCAGCCTACCATGCGAGTAGTGAAGCGAGCCGTAGCGAGCGGAACGGAGGCAAAACACAAGGAACGACATTCATTCTTTCCCGCCGCGTAGCGGCGGCACTCGGCTAGTCTTAAACATATACTGCAGCAACCTGTCTGTCCGTCACACTAAATTGTCGTGCCTGTCACGCTTTTCCGGACAAATCATTGGATAAAATAATTTAAATATTTCTACTGGCTGCCGAGCGCAGCGAAGGTGGCTTCAATTGGTTAATACTAGAATGTGTAGTTGACATCAATAGATGCATGTGTTTCCCAGCTAACATATGGGGATTTGCACAAAGCTAATACTGTTTTATTAGTAATACATTATCCGAAGGCGGCATCGTTTTAATAATAATATTTTATACTTTTTCATAATGCATTGATATTTGAGTACTAAACGGAGGGCAGGGTGCTTAGCGTACACGTAAGCATGCGTGTTTCCGAGGACATGGTTTAAGTATACTAAATACTCTGTACTCAGTAGGATCTGCGAGTTACACTGACTAAAATGATAATTTCAATTTTTTATTGTAAAGATATTAGCATTATTAATAATAAGTTATCTGAGTGGGTTTCTGGTATTGCTAAATCGTACATGTTACATGTACAGCAGTAGCCGGTCGTGTGGGCTTGCCGTAAGAACAAAGCTGTGCTTATAAACGTTGTACCTAGATCCACAAAGATAGATAGCTTAGATTGACGTGGAAAAGAAGTAATATGTGCTGATGACAATTACTACTGTATTGTTTCCTAAGCGTTTATGTAGACAACAAAATTCTGATACTTCTTAATAGGCAGACGCGTTGCCGACAAGGCGTAGAATAAGGTTTTACATGCAGCGGTAAGATAACAACACAACATGAGAGGTGTAAATTATGATTATTATAAGTAGGCCCGTAAAGAAACGTTAATCAACTTAGAGCCTAATCTGCGTTTAACCCTGGAAATTCCTCCAGGCTGGAATCATCGTTTAAGTATCAAATAATAATACCGCCGTCAACAAAAGGCGTCGTGCGACGCATCGTTATATCCAAAGGCTACAGTATAACCATAAAATCACCACTCCGACCTCCGACAACCTCCGACCGTAACATAAAACGTGGTTTAAACAAAAATACTACATGTACTTGTTAAAATTTATGCATTTATTTTTTAAAATGGCACTTTTACTTTAGGTTAAAAAAAAGAGGGAGAAAGAGGGAGAGATCGTCCGCGAGTGGAGTGGCAGCAATGGTGGCGACGGCGGCGAGCTAGAGTCGAAGAGCGTGAGGGAGCAGAGTGAATGAGGTGGTGAACAAGGGTGGCGACGTCCGCGAAAGGGCGGTGTGCGCGATAGGGCGGCGTGCGAGTGGCGGACACAGCAGCAACGGTAACAGCGGGGTGGCGGCAGCGGGTGGATGGTGTGGAGAGCCATCAAGGTGAGGAAGGTACTGCTGGCGATGGTCGAGCTGGACGTGGACGGCGCGTTGTTTGACAGCGCTGCCGTGTGGTCGGTGTTCTGGTCCGTGGACGCAGAAGTTCACGGACGCGCCATTGAGCGGGCCGATTTCGACAACCGTGAGGGCCAACGTGCAGGTGTGCTGGCAGTAGCGTGGCGAGTGAGATATAGCGCTGCTGGCGTCAAATGGTCCGGATTACGGATCTCCAGCACGGTGGGGATGCTCGGATGTATCCGTGGTGGCGTCCGGGACACGGTGGAGCGGTTGGATGTGTTGCGTCCGCCGGATATCTCGTGGCGGTGTCGCGACCTGGACCTGGCCGTGGGGCTGCACACGATGGTATAAGTGAACGAAACGGGTTTTATGCAGGTGATGTCGCTGCTTTTACCGCGCGTCTGCACCTCGTAAGTATTGCTGAGCTGCCCGTACAGATCATGATCGTGGCTGCGACGGAGACCGACGCGATTAAAGAGTAGATGGTTTCGGCGGAAGAGGCCAAGATGGAGATCGTGGAGGTGGAGGATGCGACTCCCGAGGTCAGGAAGGCTGAATTGTGGATCAGCGTGGCGCTGCTCCAGCTGGAAGTTCCGCGTAAGACGGGGATACGCGTTCGGAACCGGTGCCAAGGTGGACGAAGCCGTGAGCAGTAGTAGAAAGGTACGCATGCTGAGGGACAGGAGAATGTTGGCGCCGTGTTGCTATTGAGTTTAAGTGCTTACGTGAATAAATAAATAACGCGTGGAATTGAGTATACTACTACTAGTTTATAATACTACAGCAGTAATAACTCTTAATACGTCTCCTCCCACAGGCTGTTGCATGTATTGTAATGACGGCACCGCCTGCCAGTTGTCGACGTCTTTAGTGCTCAAGATTTTGTATAACAGTAAACAAATTGTAGACTGCGAAAATTGAGTCTAGTGTGCTGAAATGATTACACCAGTCGGAGAAGTCGGAGAAATCACTTTATGCATGTGATATGTCAACATCTTGAAAATTGTATTAACATATCCATATTTTGCGTGTCACCTCCGACCCGATATGTCGGAGCCAACTCCGATGAGGCCCAACCTAGCCCTTACCATTTGGATTGGCCAAATCATTTTGTCAAGACCGAACGATTGGTTGTCTAATAAATAAGAATGGATGATTGGTGATTAATACCAATACTAATAATAAGTTGGGTCGGAGAATTGATGATATTCATCCATAACACACAAACCAAACTTCAATGCACACAGAAGTGAGCCCCTTTCCCTGTACACGAGATAGAGCACCATTCCTATAGTCAATATCAAAATAACATTTTTTTCTTACTTAAAAGAAGTCATCTAACACACCCAATAAATATTTTCAATCACCTTACAGCAATTGAACTAATATATTTCAATGTTTTCGAGCCTATCTTAATAGATTCAGGATAAAGATATAGTAGTACAACAGAGCGATAGTTATGTGCAAATATATCCTTGAAAGTGGTTTACATTGTGCTTACATACCTTCGGAAGAACGGTGTGACATCCACTCCATTTCTTCATTTCCACGTATAGAGCCGTATCCATCTGATGTAAGTGAAGACATCATGAAGAAGATCATTTCTACAGAGCTGAAGCAACTAATAACATGCTTATATGGCTCATCGATGGAGCGTTCGAACTATGCCAGCCACTGCAATAGAGAGGAGCATTACCGATAGATAAATGACGATGCCATATAATATCTGGGTTTATCCATCTCCATATACTTGGGATGCTGTCTCGCGAACTCGATGGTCTCAAGCGACTAAATATTCCACTCAAATGATTGGGTTCCTCATTCCGTGTCATAGTAGGAATTATATACGGAGGCATCAAATACACCTCAAACGTTATGATAGGATCCAATCGCACTCTTCTCGAAAAAGCATACAAGTTCTCCGAGGCTCGACTAGAGCGCCATTTCGGTTTGGATTACAAGTCGGCTGAGGCTTACTCTGTTTTTAAGGGCACCACGACGAAATCCTGTCTTTATGAACATTATGCTCAGCCACTAGTATTTTCCAAAGTTCGAGAAACTCTTGCTAAGCCAACCAAGTTAATGCTCAGCTCGGATATAAGCTGATAGACCGCATCAGTGGACTCGAGCAAAACGTCGGCCTGCCTCAAATACGACTAATTTAAATTCCCGATCGCGATCAATTCGAAGGGTGATATCGAAAGCAAGGTTATGTCTCAGATGCAAGGGAAGATTTCCCAGAACGAATCGGCTTTCCATCATCGAGCTATCAGCTCAAAGACCCTATAACCATGGTGTAAATCGTTTATTATTAGCTACAGGGATCCATATCCTTGGTGATTCAATAATCAAAATTCCAGACAAGATCAAAGACAATCGCTCGGTCGTCAATTAAAAAAACTGATAACAAATGCATGTTCTTCTGCCTCGCCTACCACCGTGAGGATAATGCTCGTGTCGATCGAATGATTTCTCCAGTCAAGAAGCTGATCAAGGCATACTGTGAGTTCAACCACATCGAATACTCGCCAACCTACCTTAAACAGATGGGACCTATCGATATATTATAATTCGATGAGCTTGAAGAGTATTTGTTTTATTCAGATTCATGTGCTTGACATGGATCAGCAATCGCTAGCGATTTTGAAGATTGATTTAATCATCCCCGAACCGTATCAAAATCCTCGACTACGACTTCCATGCAATGTACATCACGAACCTAGGCAACGTTTGACCAAATTTTAGTGCAACGTGTGCGGAGCCATACTTGATACATGGAAAAAGCTAAGAAGGCTAAATGGGAATTATAAGTCATTGAGTCGGTTTCTAAATCACCAACAAATAATCGCCCGCCTCAGAACAAGCTCCGCCAAATCCTCCACAAGTATTGTATTGAGAAGGATCATTACATGGATCACTTTATTGTTTATGATTTCGAAGCTATTCCCAAGGCGATATCGATTAGCCATGGTGAGAGTGCTACTTGCATGAAACAGCATATCCCAGTATATGAATCGATTTGCAACAGCCTGACCGAAACGGCCACGTGCTTTGTCTTAGACTCGCCGCTTCAGCTTCTGAATGAAATGTTCGCATACATCGACATCATTTCGATAGACATTCGAAAATACAATTTTGCAAAGTATGATCTAATAGCGGTATCGATATTGAAGCGATAATATTTTGTAGGCGATTAGTCACAGCTCCGATCTGGATGATATAAAAAAATTCTAAATGGTAAATACGATTCCCTATTCGAATTCTTTAACATTGTAAGAGTCGGCATGGGTAAGAAGAACACCTCCCACAAATTCAGCCGTATCATTAGCCAATCACCCGCTATTGGCTTTAACTCAGGTTGCTTCGACAACAATATCATCAGGAATGTTCTATTCACAGCTATTGGAAGCGGCAATAACACATCAGTGATCTAGAAACCATCCTATATTTGTATTGGAACATATACATTCAAGATGCTTGACATTACCAACTATCTCCCACCTGCCATAAGTTATAAGAAGTATCTATCAACCAATCTAGGCGGATGAAAGTGTGCTGACAAGATTCGATGCTCATGTGGTCTCGCTAAGGGTGCATTCTCGTACGAGTATATCGAAACCTTTGACGCACCCAACCAGACGGAGATCCTATCTAATATCGCCTTTGATAGCGATATGCGTGATACGCGCATCACCGACGATGACTATGAGCGAGTATAATTCGTGTAAAAGCACTGTGGGACGAAGGCGATCAAAGATCTATTAATTTACGTTATTAGCCCTTCATCTCAACGTGAGCTATTCAAGCGTTTTGAGTAACACATATTTTCAGATGGAGTCTCGCTCCCGGGGTTTTGCTGAGAAGGTTATATATCATACATGCTTCAAGGACATCTTCACACCATACATAACAACCGACAGGTACTACCTTCAAGTTTTCATATGATAGATACAACGGATATAAGAGCGAAGACCTCAAGGCTAAGCGAGAGTTTAGACTAACGATCAATCTCCTCAACAAGATTCTTCATGGTCCAAATTACGTATGCATCCATTGCTTCTGTCAGCTAGAGCGAGGAGAACGTCTCTGCTGATCGAATCTATAATACCATCGGGCACATTGATGGCAACACCATGACGTCATGCCACAGATGCAACCGTGCTCGGCAAAGCATGAATCCTAAAGTGTTCCAATACCGGAAACTTCTCGAAGTAAACAGTGAAAAATTAATTTATTCCATTGATGCAGAGGAGAAGGGCATTTTTGCGAAAATGAAGGCGAATATTTCATTTCTAATCACTTTGCCAACAGAAACGAGACGAAGATTCGAGGCGGTAAAATATACAAGAAGGTAATCGGATACGACGTCAATGTCCTCTATCTCTGGGCGCTCGGGAATGAAATGCGTTGCGGTCGCCTAGCAATCATCGAGGCTTATGATGGCATCATCGATAATATCTAATCTGACAGCGTAATCGGTCTTTCACCTCAAAGAGTACCTTTTGAAGAGCTGACACCGATATTAAATAATATGTTGATTGTCCCGCCAAGAAGACTATTGCTCGCATAAATATGGCTACAATCAGTCTCGTGAATCTGGTCGCGCGAAACCGACCCGTAAGCTGATCGGAAGCTATTTTGGTGAGAAAGTTATTAAATATACCCCATTGCTCAAGTTGTATCTGGTTCACAGTATGGACACACGAAGATTACTCATTCATCAAAGCCAACCCACACAATACATTTGGGTCATTTATGGAAGCTGTGTCCGACGCACGATGTGAGGGTGCTACCAGGTTAGGAACAATCAGCGCAATCATTCTCGAGAAGCTTAAACGCTCTTATCCGGCCGAGGTGGAGCTTATTACGGTAACGAAGAAGCTGTAACGAGTTGCTGTTCCTCCTGCCCGACTCGCTGGGCAAATCGTATAGTTTATGTGCCTGCTGCGCTGTCTGTCCCTAGTCCGTAGTTGTTACTTGATAGTACTCGAAGACGTCACTGGCCAACAGATGCTCCACTGAGCCCTGTGCCGGAACCTTTGGCTCCTACTTTTTGTATTCCTTCTCCTTAGCTAACCTTACGTAAGCTAATAGAGGTTCGTTCTTCGTTTTCGTTCTTCCTTCTCCGTCCCTGAGCAGATAGTCTCCTAGTAAGGTAACCCACGTCCTCGCCGAAGCACCGTGACGTCCCGATGCGATCCAGATCACGCTCAATCTCAAAGCCACTTGGGCGTACGCCCACGGCGCCTACCCTACTCGTGCGCGGCCACCACAGCGAACTCGGGTACTCTACTTCCCCTGTCTGGTCTCACCGTACGTCGCTCCGCTTGTCCGTACGTTCTCCTCCTTGG